TACAATACAAAAATTGATTTTCCGAAGATCTTTTGTTTTGTCAATTTGGTCCCTTTTCTCAGCACCTAGCCCATATAATCATAAACTTTGCACTATTTGAAACCTTGTATGAAAACTTCTAATCTGTGTTATAGCGCTATTTTTTCTTTATTACTATAGGGTATGCTAGACACTGATTAAAAGACACGGGTCCATAAAACTTACTATTTTAGCTAAACACTTCTGGGTGCATAAACTACTAATAAAACGTCACGAATTGGTAACGTGGCAAAAACAAAGGTAGCATGTATATGACAAACTGTAATAGGGGATAATTTCAAGAATTCGGGATCCAAGTCGGGCTCATACCCAAGGTCATTTTACCAAAATCCAAAGAAGCCAGCGAGGCGTTTTTGCAAAGTACACCTGCTAAATACTTTTCCAGTGTCTAATCCACTAAAAATCAAATAAGTCAACGAGGCATTTTGCAAAGTGCATCCGCCAATGCTTTTCTTCTTTCTGATCCATCAGTATCTTTAGTCCCAACACTATTTGTAAAGCTTAATATGTTGATGTGGTGTGTCTTTTTAGGCTCTTCTCTTTTCTCGCGTTTATATCCTTGGTTAAGAAGACATTGAGTCTCAACGTATGCTGGCATTCCATGAACCACCGAGTTTATCTGACAATTTTTGTTGTCTTTGATAAATTAAGATATTTCTCAACCGAAATCTCTATAAATAATATTGTTGTTGTGTAGGAACAAAGACTATGTACTATCTCTTTAGAAATTTTTCATTTTATAATAAAATTTCAGATTTGTGTAAACGTAAATTTCGAATACCTTTATTTAAGAGTTGAAAGATTATCTCTTTAGTTAAGCAGATTACACACAATTTCAATATTAATATTTTTTCAATGAATATTTATTGCGCAAAACATGAACAGGGCATTATACTTGCCAGTAAACTTTACTCAATCTATTTTCAATAACGTTATTTTTTTTAAAAAAAAGATCACAATAATAATAACACTATAGGGACAACGTTGTTGTACATTTATTCAATAGCGGATTTCAGAAAAGTTGACTCATAATGGGACATGGAAAGAATCTGAAGATAAAATTCTATCTATCATAAATGAAAATTTTAATACTATGGAAGACATTTGGAATAATTTAGCTCTTAACTTTGAAGTAGCTAGAACATTAAATGAGGGAACTTATCAATCTACTATTATTGTACCATTTATTCGAGCTATACTAAAAGATCTTTCCTTTAGATTTTTATTTATTAGCACATCAGAAAGAAAAAGTATTGCAAGTGCAGATAGAAAAAGAGACGGTCAAGTGGGAAGACGTCCAGATATTATGTTCATGGTGAAATATTTAGATGTGCTCTTCGAAATTATGTACATCGAATGCTCGAGATTGGTTTATATGCCTCAAAAAATAGTGGATGATGATATAAAGTTATGGAGAGAGTGTAATGATGGTATGTGTTATGCACAAAAAATTCTTAATCCAGATAAAGATCAATTTGAAATTGTTGAGATACAAATAGCAGAAGATACTTTACATCTGAATGTTCTTATTAGGGATCAAATGAATGTTAATAGATATTATAATATAGAATTGGCAAAAATCTCTGTGCATAAATCAGAAGAGATCATTGTAATTAAATTTGTAGAAACCTTTCTTTTACATAACATAATAATTACAAATTTGTCTTTACTATATCATGGATCAGTATGTATATCTGAAAGGCAAAAGGAAGACAGTACGACTGTAAATTCTGAATAATATTTATTCTTTCCTGTATTTTATCCTTATTCAATAAAAAATTAAAACCTGACGGTCTGGTTTCGTATAAATAATACATTTTTGGAATTTATTGTTATTTGATGTTACA